AGGTTGAGCAGTTTGGAGACAATGTTAGGAGACAAGGCTGAGATGGTTTGGACATGGGCAAAGGAGTGATTGTGGATATACTTGACAAAGGAAGTTGAGGATGGAGAAAAGAGGAAAATCACAGAGGAGGTTTGTGGATATAGAGAAGGAGGACATGCAGAGGGCTGGTGTGACAGAGGAGGACAGGTTGAGATGGAGGCAGATGATCTGCTGTGGAGACTCTTAAAGAGGAATTAGCAGCCTGTTGGGAAAAAATGTATATATAAAAATTAGCAGACATAAAAAAGCATTTCTGTGTCAACAAGGTGATTCTCAAAATAGCTTTTAGTTGAAAACCTGGCATATCTTGGCATAGTGTGCAGTGTGTCCTTAAAAGATTTGAGGATACTGGACAAGTAGAGGACAAAAGGAGTAGCAGGCCTAAAAAAAACTACCTACAACAGAACAGTATCTGAAAGTCGTGTCCTTAAGAAAAGGAAAAGAAAAATCCAGCAAGGGCCTGACACAGGACCTCAGAGATGCATCTGGACTTTTAGTTGATCCATCTACTGTTCACTGAGGCATCATCAGGTCTCAGTGGAAGGCTGTCTGTCAAGAAGCCATTGTTAAGAAAGAGAAACGTGGAGAAACGGCTGAGGCGTGAGAAATTATGGCGACCCCTGAAGGGAGGAAGCCAACAGACAATTTTTTTTCACCCAATCTCATGTTCTCCCAACTTTAAGGTAACATAATACCAAATCCCAGGAATGCCCCTTTAATTAGTCACCTGCACCTGCACATGGTCAATTTCTTCTATGGTGGGATTTTCTACAGTGCAGTGGTGAAGGTGCTCTGCGTGTTTAGAGGGGGAAAACAGAAATTGTGGAGAATACTGTTTCGGCATCATATGAGTGTAAAGTTAATCCCGCTTGAGACTAAAGTAAGACATCTACAGCTGAAATAACGATTTCAAAACATCATCCACACAGAGAAGGGGGAAAGAGTTCGGAGTGCAGGATTTTTCTCTCCGGGCAACCCGGCTTGTGTGGAGCCGCTGTCCAAGGTGCTGAACACGGGGCTGCAGAGGGGTATGAAAGCTCTGGCACTACAGAGCGTCCCGGGACGAAAACTACAGTAAGACCAAATGACCGACCTAAATGTGAGCAAAATGCGGCCCCACCTCAGAAATATTACCAAATCCTGAGCAGGCATGCATCAAAATCTGAACAGAAATTACTTCCACGGAATGGAGCACGGTGTCTGTCAGGCATGCATCCACCGGACTGATAATGTAAATCTGGGTGTACGTACTGTATCTGCGCCCGCATTTATCAATGGACTCATGAGGATGGAGATAAGACAGTCAAGACAAGCTGCCTGGGAATAGCCATTCAGCAAATCCCCCCCTCGTTCACCACCAATGCACGCGCGCGCACACGCACACATAGAGAGAAAGAGAGAGAGAGAGACACACACACACACACACACATTCTTAGACACGGGCTTCAGTGTCGGTAAATTCGGAACCGCAGGAATGCCAGAGCGCTTGACATATTTCAAAGTTGCCTACGCAATGCGAGTCCAGCCATCACGAGAAACACACATGAAACGCACATGAAAGCCCTCCACGCAGTCCACACATGCTCCTCATGGTTTTTCACTTTACCTGTTCCAGATGCAAGCGTAGAAAAAGAAGAAGAAAAGCTTCGCCTCGCTGGTGTCCGCGGCACCAACGTCCCCTCGTTGCCTCTGGCAGTATGTGTGGCTTTGTTGATACTGGGATATTTATATTTATATATATATATATGTATTTATATTTGTCTGTACTGATTTGTCCCAGCTCGTCTCCTATGCGGTCTCCGTGAAGAGCGGTGACCGGGAAGTGGCTCGTGCGATCACGGCATCGGTCAATGTGGTTATTGACCCGCGTCAAGATTTTCTGGATGCGAAACGGCGCCTGATGTGACGCGCTGCCTGCCCGCTGCTGTCTCCCTCGTTCTTTGCCTCTCTCCTCTCAGTTTCTGCCTCTCACACTGCGTCAGGCTCCGCTCCCCCTCCTCTCTCTCTCTCTCTCTCTCTCTCTCTCACTGCCTTTGACTCTCACGCTCGCTCTCTCACGCACACACTCACGGGAACAGACGGTGATTAATTCGTTAGAATTCCACCTCTCTCTCCCTCTCTCTCTCTCTCTTTCCTCTGCTCTCCCTCTGTTTCTATAGCTATGTGCCTCGATCCGTCGCTTCTTCTCTGAACTAAAGCGTCCACCAGCCAGCTGTTCCAGTAGCCAGGAGAGCGAGAGCGAGAGCGAGAGAGGGTTGCTTGGCACTTCAAGCGCCGCAGACAGTCATTTAGATTAGATGCTTTCCCATTTGGAGAGCGACATACTGTAGCTGTATAAGTGCTGCACTATCAAACCCAAACCGGGAAAGTTCTTCACGAAACTATATGAAATCCAGCCTGCAGTTCTTTAGAAGAATAGGAAAGCCATGCAGAATAGCGTTAGAGATATACTGTAGTTTGTTTTGGAGTGATAGGATTTCACATTACTGCCTTTTTCTATCTGCACTCCAGCTGCCGCTGCTGGAAGCATCAGGTCTCTGCAGCTGGAGGCGAAGTGACAGAAGCCTACCAGACTGAACAGTTCAATGTTATTTGAGGTTGGCTGTTTGCCTACATGCACTACGGGGCAACCTGATGTCCTGCCAGCAGACATGGTCAGATTAACTGCCTCTTTAGTGCAGGCACACACACACACACACACACATACAGAAACAGACACACACGTGGGTGCAGATAAATAGCTAAACAACTTGAAACCGCTATGAATGCTGAAACCACATATCACCACTACAACATGTACTGTGGTCTAAAAAGAGAAGAAGAAAAAATATCAGAGCTTCTGTTAAAAGTCGTGCACATTAAACACACAGTTGGGTGTCCTCTGGCTTATGTTTTGTGTTGCATTAATGGATATGGAAACTATATATAAATCCAGTGACCTACCGCTACATGGCTGCAGGTGATGGCTGGCATTATAGTGAACCTGAGCCTTGTGACCCTCATCCTGCATGATTGAGTAATTAGGAATTAGGGGCAGATGGGGCTGGGTGGGGGGGAAAAGGAAGAAACAGAGGGAAATACACCTCATTCATTTGCATAAATCCATGCTTGTGTCTGCCTCTGTGGGCATGTGGGGTAAGTAAAATCATACAGGACTGCACAACAGACCACGCAGGAGCTTCTGTGAATCGCATATTAAATCTCCTGCTTCTGCTGGGTTATTGAGGCAGCTGACCGCTGACCTACTGTATTAAAGCATCCCCGCGAGGGACTTAAGTATTGAATGATGAATCACCATATTATTATTGATGGAATAAAAAGGGTGAGTTATATGACAGAAAACTTAATCAGCATATCAAAGCCACTCTCTGTGTGTTTTTACTAAAGGATTCTTCAAAATCTGAAGATTACCTGACTTGGAAGATTTACAGCAGGCAATAAAAAATGATCAGAATGAGCCCACAGGGCATTATCGCCTGTGTCCTGATGTCAACATTACATTTAGTTCCCTCCAGCGCCGTGTTTTAGCTTTTCAACTACACTCATTTCTTTCACTCCCTCTGCTCCCATCAGAACTGCGCCCAGATGTATCAGCATCTGCTTCCAGGAGAGAGGCTCTGAAAAGCCCGCGGCACACCTACCTTCTCATGCAGCACCAGATTAATGACAAAGTTATCGATTAGCTGGTAAATGTAGCGGAGATTTCTGCAGCTAAAGAGACATTTCCTACACCGGCTGGCAAGCAAGCACCGGGCTGGCGTTCTTTGGGTGGAAATAAAACAAATCTAATAAACGAGAACGTGTCTCATTTCTGCTGGATGCTTCAAAGATGCGACATTAGTGAAGCACACAGTAATTGTTTTCAAAGCTCATTTCCACTGCACGCAGCGCTAAAAGGAAGATTATTACCTTTAGATGGACAAATCAATAAAATGCAACATAAAGTATTCTTACACCCTCTCTGTATGATTTGCATGTATTATTTGCAGCGATCATCAGTCCGCCTCAGCCTCTTCTTAGATGCCCTCGCACTAAGACTTTGATGATCCTAATTTCCCAACATGCTTTTTCAAACCAAGGTTTGATTATTAGAGGTAAAATGATTTATTCATGACATTAAAGCTTTGATTACACCGTGCGTGATCAGTTTATAGATCTACTAAAACACAATCAGTTCACATGGGTGCTTTTAGCAAAAATCAATATTCAATACCAAACAAACTAAATCCACTCTGATTTGTAATCTATGCAGACTTAAACATATCACTTTCCCTAATGCGGTCACAACTACAGCTACCACGTAGACAGCAGTTTGCACTGTGCTGCGCAAGTGAACCTCAACTAAAAGTTTAGAGTAACTCCATCTATTATTCAAAAGTGACTTTGGTAGGATTATGCTCATATATATATATATATATTTGCTTTGTTGACTGATATCATTTACTGATTGCGTTGCATCATTATTCACTCACACGAGTGGCTAATATTTATCTCTTGTATCAATTGTTCACCGGCCAAATGTTTAAAGACAGAGTGACGAAGATTTAGAGTGACAAACAGTTCAGTTGTTTTCTTACACACGAGGAGATTTATGAAGATTGATATGAAGGTGTATGACTTATAAAGATTTCTTTGTTTCTTTGGAACAAAACTGGAAATGCATGATATGAAAAGAAAAGAAGAAAGACTTGACTGCTATCAGCCACAACGATATTTTCACTAAGTATCAGCAGAGAGTTTTATAATCTGTGTGTGTTGTTAGAAAGCACCCCTGCTTTACCCAGATTCTACAAAATTATTTCAGTGCTTTTTTGTTTTGTTTTTTGCTTCAAAAGTTCCAAAAGTTTAAACGAAGGGCAAAAATTCTTGAACTCTTGAATAAAATAGTCAAGATGCATAATCAAATTGATTCACTGTTAAAAAACAAGTGAG